TCATAACTAACAAAGTTTAAATGTCTTAATTATTTCGTCAAATAAACTAATTATAACTTATAAATTAAATTGAAAGTATTTTCATTAACTTAATCACTATATTATCATAAATATTATGAATTGTAGTAAAGATAACGGATAAACATTATTTGGATGTAGATTATAAACAGTATAATCATATTTAAAATATAATACACAATATATGTAGACTTAATGTTGAATAAAAAGTTTTAAAACTTGTATTAAAAGTTATAACAACTAAACAATGTCAAAAGCAAAACTTCTAAATATGATGTATAAAAACATGACAAACCTCTAACTGTAAGAAAAACGGATGTCTCGTCTTCACTGAATCCGTTGTTTACAATACAAGTGTAAGAATCGGTATTATTTTCAGTGGTATTCTTGATAATCAAAGCCGAGTCCGGATGTGAGTCACCATTAGATTTCATTTCTATTCCCAGACTTTGCAATAAATCTGAAGTCACTTTTTGATTGCCTTTTAACAAACAATTAATTATTATTTATAATTTATAAAATAAAACCAAACAAATAGGACAGACCGATGAGCCAAACAATTTTGCCCATTGGATAACCCGTGTACTCGCATTTGATGACCCGTCTCACGCCTTTCATCACACTTTGTGCGTTTGGCAATTGTTTCACACGAATCGGTGCTAATAATCACAAAATATCTGTTATTATACATTGAATTTAGTAAAACGATTGGCAGAGGTATACCTCTAAGGTATATAATCTGTCCGAATTGAGAGCCGCCCCTAACCGACAACGAGTCAACTCTGCACAGGTATTCGCCGGCGTCCACAATACTCGTCGCGTTTCTTATAGTTAGTCCCGATTTACGTATTGTTCGCCTGTCATCGCTCACAATACCTTGGCCATTTTTAGACCTATTGTATAATAAAAATGTGTTAATTTTGCGCTTATTTTAATATAACAAATAACTTTAAATACCAAAAAATCTCATGAGTATCCGATTTGGATATGATATCACACTTAAGAACTACAGTAGAATATTCTTCTTTGATCTCTTCAAAGTTGTGGTGTTGTTTAGGTATGACATCAATGGTTGAGGCGGTTGGTTGAGAAGGGATCACATCTAAGCGATGATAACTACGGCTAAAACTATTGCAACGATAAAACCCTGAGTCCTGTACACTAGCGTTGGACACAGACATTGTCTCGATTCGTGTCATTTCACTTCCGATCCTATTATTAAATGTAATTCTTTTGCTTTCAATGACTGGTAACTCATTGTGAGTCCATTTCGGAGCTCTGAATCGCGACATTTGACACGATATTTGAAAAGTTTGCATTTCATTCACAAACTTTGGCCCATAGTATACAACATCCACTTTCTTCCAGTCCCGATTGCCGTCTTCCTGAGCCAACCCATTGGCTGTTTAACAATATTTACATTTTAACGCATATTTAAAATTCTTGTATAGTTTTATTAGTTATAAATATAATGTTTAGTATTTTAATTATTAAGCAGTTATTTATATATTTATTACATGATTATTTGCAAAATAATATCTTAATTGCGAACATTTGAAACGAAAAATAAATACAATGTTATAATTTACCTGAGAGTTGACTTATAACAAAAAATATTACAATTAATAATTTGGTATAAAAAACGTGTGATTTATGAAAAAATTTCATTTTATGAATATGTATATTTGTTATATAATCGATATAAAACATTGAACAAGAACAATCAAAATGTCTAAAACTGATTCAACATGGCTAACTAAAAGATTTACAAACAAAGTATATGTTTTAGTTGTTTTTAACTAATAATGAAATAAATAATTAGATGAGTAAATGGGAGAGAGGTTTGCGCAGAGAATGGATCGGCAAAAGAGTGTTGAGTTGGGCTGAAATGTAAGCATATTTTTATCAAAAGTTATAATAAAGCAAAACGAATGGTGCAGTTGTTTGTCGCAAGTCATGGTATAGTAGAGCTAATTTGGGACACTCTTAGTCTCAGCGCTCCTTATCTTAAAATAGACTTCAAGTGAGGAATGGCTTCAAAACTTAATTGCATTGTTAAACACTATGTATTTATACAACAAATTATGCTTTCCTTAAATTGCTTCCCAATGTGTTTGCAAACATTTTATATTACTTTTTATTGCATTTTTTTCCACAACTTGCTATTTATTTTGCTTACCATTCCTTATAATTTGCAAATCAAATTCAAACTTTAAATTATATTAAAATCTAATTAATATGATAATGGAAGTAATTATAAAATAAATTATAGATAATTATATAATATATAATTGGAAATATTCAACCAGTTTTCTATGCAGTTTAATAAGTGCATATAAAATGGTAAATTAAATTATATTCAGTGAAAATGCTTTTAATAAATAGAAAATATTTCAATAATTCTTAATTGAAGTACAAGTAATATAAAAGTAAAAGTAATGAATAAAACTTGTTTTATTGCAATATTTTCAAATATAAATTTATTGATTTTTTAATGTAAAAATATTTTTAGAAAACTATAGACTATTTGTTGAATTATATTTTTTAATGCAAGATATAACAAAAAAATAATGAAACCTTTCATGAATTTTATTAACACATTATATTTATCTGTAAATCAAGTATTTATGCGAACAGAAACTTATTTCATTTATAAATTATAAGCATATTATAAATGATCAGGGTTTCAATTCTAATACAGTTATGGGCTATTGATATATTTTATTCAACACAACTTTTGATATTTAAAATTGTCCTTTTTCATTATTTAAAATTATCAATATTATATTTTAATACAATATTTTTGAAGATAAATAAAATTCACTTGTTCAATTCAATTCTCTTAAACAAATATTGCATAAATTATTTTAGGGGAAGTAATTATAAAAGTTTAATTCATTTAAATTAATTTTTTATAAACAATTTATATGTAAATTTATTACAAATTTAGTAAATGCTATTAAAAAATAATTTAACACTAATTAATTAGTATAAATTGATCTATTTAACAAATGTTTAATTAATAAGTAATCTAAAAATAATTTAAAAAGAAATAATTAATCTATTTAAAATATTATTTATAAATAAATAAAGTAAAACTGATTTTACAAAAATAAAATAATAATTAACAAAACGATTAATTATAAAAATAAAATTTTTTATTGCATGAGATTCTCAATAAAATTAATAAAATATTCATAAATTTTTTGATAATTTATTTTACGTTTTAGTTAATTAAATAATTAATTACAATTATAATCTAACTGATATGCCTTTTGCATATAATTATCATTTATCTAAAAAATTACAATTAATTTGATTATAATAGGAGTTGTGGTCAAGTATTGGCTGCAATGTATAGCTTTGAGGGCAAGTAGTCTTTGGGGAGAATATCTTAAATGATATGAAAACTGATCATTAATTTACATTATTGTTAACTATTTTCTTATTAATCAAATAATAATCAAAATTATAAATAATCAATACTTATAAAGACAAGTATAATAGAAATTAATAAATAATTTTCAAAATAAACAATATTTAGGGTGGGGTTTACACACATAAGACTAGTGCACATTCTAAGTGCACTACATGTATGAGACAGATGTGCACAAATTGATATCAAGACAAACCATCTGGGAATCAATTGTACTAAAAATAAATATAATTCAAGCAATTCTTTAAAAAATAATAATAAAATTTTTACTATAAACAAGAAATTGGTTTAATTTAAATGAAGAAATGATTGAAATGTATGGCAAATACATGAAAATGTATTGAGAAATGAGCATAAGTTTGAGGGAACTCTTGCGCATCGATTGAAATGTGTTTGTAGTCTATCTGTGATAACAATTGACGGTATAGTGAATGTAGTGAATGGTGTAATATATGGTTGTATTATATGGTATACTATATGAGGTCAACGCTTATGAGGTCTGAATGAGACATAAGATGGCGAACGATGGCAACGAAGGAGAAAATCTCTCTAAAAATGATTGTACGGAAGAAAGTATTGAATCCCTGAGAAAAGAAGTCGAGAGACTGAAGACCCGACTCGAAGAGGAGCGTAAAAAACTAAACGACGTGACCTGTAAGCCAGCGCTTAGGCCTTTCCATAGCATAGCATCCCTCACATCCCTTCCCATCACATCCTCTATCCAAACGTCAATCAATTGTTTTTGAATTATTTTTCAAATAAATTTCAATTAAATTTCTCAAAAATTTGCGTTCAGTTTCGTCGGCAGCCGAACGACTCGATAGTGTAATCAATTTGAATGTAAAGCCACGGCGAGTACTGAAAGGACATCAGGGAAAGGTTCTCTGTTCCGATTGGTCTTATGATAACCGACATATCGTGAGCTCATCACAAGACGGCAAACTCATCATTTGGGACGCGTTTACCACTAATAAAGTAAATTCATTCAATTCATTGCTAGCCTTTAGATCATTGTATTGATACAANTGGTCTTATGATAACCGACATATCGTGAGCTCATCACAAGACGGCAAACTCATCATTTGGGACGCGTTTACCACTAATAAAGTAAATTCATTCAATTCATTGCTAGCCTTTAGATCATTGTATTGATACAAGTCATGTATGATTAGGAACACGCCATAACTATGCCAACCACTTGGGTTATGGCCTGTGCCTACGGACCCACTGGCAATCTGGTCGCCTGCGGGTAAGCCATCATCAGCTGATTTCGCAACCATTTTATCATTTATTTAATGCAAATTCTGTGCCATTTCAGTGGTTTAGACAATAAGGTCACTGTTTATCCATTAAATATTGAAGAAGATGTGGCCACGAAGAAGAAGAATGTCGGCACTCATACCTCATACATGTCCTGTTGTCTCTTCCCGGGAACCGATCAACAAGTATTACAACAAAATAAGATTCATTTCGTGTTTCAAAACTAATTATTGGTTTTAAATTGTGTGACAGATATTAACAGGAAGTGGTGACAGCACTTGTGCGCTATGGGATGTCGAGTGCGCGTCTCTCATACAGAGCTTTCACGGCCACAGCGGAGATGTTATGGCAATAGATCTCTCGCCTTCAGAGACGGGAAACACATTCGCGTCGACAGTAAACATAAATGAACCACAAATTGTTAAAACAAATTATATTCTTAATGTTGTTATTGTATGGCATAGGGCTGTGATAGACAAGCATTAATATGGGATCTCCGTAATGGTCAGTGCGTCCAATCATTTGAAGGCCACGACGCGGACATCAATTCCGTTAAATATTATCCAAGCGGTGACGCCATCGCCACCGCATCCGATGACTCCACTGTAAGCGCTCATCAATTCATTACTAGAAATCGATTTCTAATTAATTGAATTTTTTTAGTGCCGTTTATTTGACTTAAGAGCCGACAGAGAAGTTGCCATTTATTCAAAACAAAGCATAATATTTGGTGTAAATTCGGTTGACTTCTCAATTAGTGGTAAGTTTTTATAATTGTGTTCATTAAATGTTGATATGTTTTGACGAAATTTGGTTGCGATTAAAAAACAGGTCGACTCTTATTTGCCGGTTATAATGACTATACTGTCAATGTTTGGGATACTATGAAGTGCTGCCGACTCTGTATTCTCTACGGCCACGAGAATAGAGTCACTTGTCTTAAGGTATCCCCTGACGGAACAGCTCTGTCCACATGTAGTTGGGATTTCAATTTAAGGGTAAGTCACACCTCATGTAAAGCAATGAACAGTTATCTGAATCCATGTTTTCTGTGTCCTGACAGGTGTGGGCCTGATTTGTAGTCAATATTAGTTTTTGAATATAAATAAGTTTAGGATTTGTTTGCGGACTTTCCTCACACTTTGTTGGACTCACTGAAGCAAATGAAAAGATCATTAGTTAAATATGATGTGATCTTATGATCAAATAAGTGAAGAGTAAATCAGTGGTTGAAAAGAGTGAGCAAACGTTGATTTTATAATATTCTATGCATTCATTACTTCAATTCGTAAATCACTGGAAGAACAGCTATTGTTATCTCTGATGTCGTTGTGATCGGAAAAAACTCAGATCTGTTTGATTGAGAGGAATGGGTGTCGAAGAAAAACAATACGATTGAGTGAATACTTTTTTCAATGATAAAACGGGACCACATTATCAATTGTATTAAGATTTTAATGTAAACTCTATTAAAATATTAACTTAAAAAATATTAATAATAATAAGTTTAAGAAAAATCACGAGTCATTTAAAGAATTCAAGTCCTTATGCTATAATTGAATTGATTTATAAATAAGAAAAAATAATAATTGAGAATCAATGACACTCTAACGATGGCTAAAATTTAAATTATATATATTTTAAAGCAATTTAAATATTTAAATACAATATGCGTTATGTATTGTATTTACTTCTGATTAAATAAATTGATTTTGGAAAATCATTTTGTCGTTAATTTTTTTATATGTAATCTAAATTTTGCTCATTTTTATAGTGCCATTGAATTGTTATTAAATTAATTTTAGTTAATAAAAAAGGCACAAAAACCATACAAAAAATTTGATAACAATTGTTTTCTTTGTATAACTGTACTACAAATTGGCGTCAATTGTATGTTATATTAGGAAAAAAGTTATGACACAAGAGATACGGAATTACCAACGCTTTTACCATTTCATGCATCGCACGGAACTCAACACTATTGGTACACAATTGCATACAATTTGTGGCAAATGTAAGACATGTTATAAATTAACACAATCTCTTGCCTTTGATTCAATTCAAACGATTAGAGAATAATTGGATTGCAATAAATGTGATGTTTGGTCATTGAAATGATAAATATTTATCTCATGTCATAAATTGCTATTTTTGTGATACCAATTGCAATGCAATCGTATCTATTCGTGAGTAAATAGTGAAAAAAATTCAGCATTATTGACATACAATTGCATTTAATTTTGATAATAAATAAACTACAATAGAAAGCACTGAATATGACTTAGTATTGCATGCAATCAATGGTAAAATCAGGTAATTCTCTATAAAAACATGATTATTATCTCAAAACAGTAAGGAATGAATTAATTTTTGTGTGAAAATAAGGCACAAAAGATCACATTTTATAATACAGTAGTCGACAAAAACCTATTTAAAATACTGGGAAACCATTTGTTTTACAATTTACATATCGTTTCTCTGGCGCTCTATCTATAAATATGGTCAAAATGTTGTTCATTCGTGAACTACCGGTCGGTTATATTAATTCATATATAAAAGTATAGGAGAAGCCATTCCTCACCGAATGGATGACTAAATTTACAAAAGGAAATGGAAATGTGTTTTCGTCGCTATAAATATATGATTACAAAAACCACTTCTTATATACTTCTTGGGAACCAATTGTCTATCGCTTTACAAATAATAAACCAATGATTAATAAATTAAAAATTCTATACAATTTGACTCAAACACAACTCAAAAACTATTTGTCAAAAAAATAATACAAAAACATTACTTTTAAAAAGTATGGACAGAAAAGTCAGTCAATAAATATGATCTAAAGAGTGAGTTCTTTTAAACGATCCAACTTTTTGAAGACCACCGCAAACGCGGGTCTCTTCTCGGGGTCCAAATCCCACGAATGTTTCATTATTTCGTACACTTCTACGGGACAGCCTTCGGGCGATTCCATTCGATACCCTTTTTCAACGTGTTTAACCACATCTGCCAATGGGATCCTCGGATACGGCACTCTTCCAAACGAATAGATCTCCCAAAGAAGTACTGAGAAACTCCACCTGAAGATCATTTCGCACACATATAAACACCGGTTTAAGTAAATGATAACAGATATGACATAATTGTTTGCTTACATATCGGACTTATTGGAGAACTTGTTGTGTCGAAGGGCTTCGGGTGCCGTCCATTTGATAGGAAACTTTCCGCCCTCGAGATTGAATGTCTCATCTCTGGCTAAACCAAAATCACACACTTTTGCGATACAGTCCTCTGATATGAGTACATTCCTTGCGGCCAAATCTCGGTGCACAACGTGTTTGGACTCGAGGTAACTCATGCCGGCGCACGTGTCTCATCTCTGGCTAAACCAAAATCACACACTTTTGCGATACAGTCCTCTGATATGAGTACATTCCTTGCGGCCAAATCTCGGTGCACAACGTGTTTGGACTCGAGGTAACTCATGCCGGCGCACGTGTCGGTCGCGAAGTTTATTTGGTCTTTTTTGGTCACGTGATGCCTCCCTCTGGACCGCAAATAGTCAACAAGAGATCCCTTCGCCATAAACTCAGTGATCAAACAAATGGACGGCCCGTCGAACACAACGCCCAGCAATTGAACTAAATTGTTATGACTTAATGATGTCATAAGACTCGCTTCGGTTAAGAAATCCTGTGCGGCTTTACTCGAGTCCTTGAGCTTTGATCTATTGCCATAACATCTCCGCTGTGGCCGTGAAAGCTCTGTATGAGAGACGCGCACTCGACATCCCATAGCGCACAAGTGCTGTCACCACTTCCTGTTAATATCTGTCACACAATTTAAAACCAGTAATTAGTTTTGAAACACGAAATTAATCTGATTTTGTTGTAATACTTGTTGATCGGTTCCCGGGAAGAGACAACAGGACATGTATGAGGTATGAGTGCCGACGTTCTTCTTCTTCGTGGCCACATCTTCTTCAATATTTAATGGATAAACAGTGACCTTATTGTCTAAACCACTGAAACGGCACAGAATTTGCATTAAATAAATGATAAAACGGTTGCATCAGCTGATGATGGCTTACCCGCAGGCGACCAGATTGCCAGTGGGACCGTAGGCACAGGCCATAACCCAAGTGGTTGGCATAGTTATGGCGTGTTCCTAATCGTACATGATTTGTATCAATACAATGATCTAAAGGCTAGCAATGAATTGAATGAATTTACTTTATTAGTGGTAAACGCGTCCCAAATGATGAGTTTGCCGTCTTGTGATGAGCTCACGATATGTCGGTTATCATAAG